TAAAAAAATTAAATTATCTCCTATCATTCAAAAATATTAATCCCAAAAATACAAAAAAGAAAACGGCAAATTAAAAATAAATATAAAAAATTATTTCAATCCAAAATTTTAAAATATTAAGTAAAAATAATTTTAATAATTTATTGTATTTTCTCGAAAGATATACAAATGATGTGAACGTAACGTTGTGAAAGAGTGGTTTTGTCTATGAGTGTATTATTATAATGGAGAGAGGGTGGCAGACCCAAAGGACAAGATCACAGAGAATCATGTCACATCAGAGGAATGAGAAAGATGCCCGTGTTTTGTGGTCCATGTGTCCAATCGCATTCTCCAAAAGATTCATGCTCAAGCTCATCCAAGTGCATTGCATTTGCTGGTGAAGCCTATATAGCCACAAGTTACTTATTTTTTTAATCTCTCTTCTTCTTTTTGTTCTTTGATATATGTTAGGATAATAGTATTGAAGATTACTAAGAATAATTAAAATGTAGGGAAAAATTACTCTTAAGTTACATTATTTGATAATTGTGTCATTCTTTTTTTTTTCAAGTGATGAAGCTCATAAATTTATATCTATGACATGAAATTAATAAAACCCTAAAATATAACAATAATTATAAGAAAAAGTGTGTATCATTTTAAATGATATAAAGTTATATTATTTTAAGAGAGAGAAAAAGATAAATCATGATAAAGTGAAAGGAAATTTTTTTAAAAATATGAATCCCATCTTTTCGTGAAAATGAAAGAATAGAAGATGTGTCATTTAAAATTATAAGCAAAAAATAATTACGTGTTCAAGATTTAAACTCAATCATCGCATTCTACGGCTATTTTAATCTTTATTTATAAATATTCTAATTAAGATATAAGTCGCTTTTTACTTATGTAGTTTTAAATTTGACAACTAATTCACTTAAACTTTTAATATGCGGTTAATATTTTCTTATGATTAATTTTAAATCTTGATAAGTATTGAAGTAAAATTAATCATTGAAGCATTATTAAAGGAAAGTGATTCTCTCATGCATGTGTTATTTAATATGATCATGTTATATAAATTTTTTTTAACCATATAAAAATAAATTAATGGTGCATAATTATTGCTTTTTGTTATGTAACTATTTATTCTTACTTAGCTGCTAATAGTTTTATATTAAATCAATAAAGTCAACAATAAATTTTGAAAAATATTAATTTTTATTGAGTGATTATTTATAATTATTTAGTGATTAAAAGATTTAAACAAAACTTTATCTTAAATTTAGGAATTTAAAAATATTTTCCAATGCTTAGTGGTTATTTTTTTTTTTTTTTGTAAATTAGTGGTTATTTGTTTACAGTTGTAAACGAAGTTTTACATAAAATTCATGAAATGAAGAAAAAAAATGCGAATAAATATTACTTGTTACAGTGTGTCATAGTTTTTCCTTAGTCTAACAATATTTCCCTTTTAAAATACATGATGTTATAAAAATAATTATGAATAAGTTATGGAAAAACTAATATTATGTTGTAGGAAAATTCTTAGGTCATGTCATAGTGATAATCAATTGTGAGGTCCACTATTTTTAAAATAAAATAAAAGTAAAAGAATTGATGGACCCATTTTTATGTTTGTGTAAAAAAATAACTTGTGTCATGTAAAAGGAAGAAAATATTACCCAATAAGTTATTCATGAGTCCAACATCTTATCTTGTCAGGTTTGGTGTAGGTCAGAGTTAGATTAAATCAAAACATTTAGACAATAAAAATAGGAATTTATTACTCTCAAGTAACAAGAAAACAAACTTTTGTTCTTGTACACTCCTTCAAAAATGGGACTCTCCAAGTGAGAGAAAAAAAAAACAAAAAAAGAGAGTGGCTCAGTTATCAATGTAAGCACAGGAGACATTGTGATTTTGCTGGTACTTTTTTGGAGTTACCCAATCTTAATTATTTTTTTGAGGCGAGTTGGCTCCTTCCGATATTCCCACGAGCTTCGACTCTTTGAGCCGGCTATGAGACTAATCCGGAGAGCGGGGGAGCAGTGATGACTAAAGATTCAGTCCCCTCCCCAAATTTTGCTGGTACTTGAGATAAATAAAACGCATAAAAACAAGTAAAAAAATCATTCATGACTAATAGTCAATAGTATTGAACTTGAATTGATGATAGACTCGTTCAAGATATTGAATTAATGGATCACTTGTCCAACTTGTTAAATTGAGTTTGTTAATACATGTAATAAATATATAAATATAAGTGATTTGATAATTAAATAAACGTAGCTAAGTGATTAACATTTCATTTTCGTTTAAATCTCACGATCGAGTGCCTGCTGTAACTTTTGGCTTTGCGCTTGATCTAACAATAACATTAATTTAATCTTTTAATAAAAAATAAAATATGTTAATTATAAATATATTAATTTAATTCCTTAAAGTTGTATATAATAAAAAAATAGTTTTAATATCTCTTTCCACGGGAAACTAAATTAATATAAAAACTATTATAAAGAAAAATGACATTCCTATATTTTTCAACAAAAACGCCATATTCACTAAAATTTGAAAGAGAGGTCAAAATTGCAATTTAGAGTGTTCAGTTTCTTGAGTCGAGATTCCTGAGATGGTAGGGTCTTTCAAGTTTCAAGTGTTTACAAAGAAGTTAGAAAGAAGATAAATAGTAATGTAAGGCTCTTTGATTTATCTGGGGTTTTTAATCTTTTAATTTTTTAATTTGGTATTCGAGTCATGATATTTATTAATGGAGGTCGTTGAGTGATGCGAGGGAGACCCAGCAAGCAGCACTGAGTGCCGCGAATCATTCCCGTGTCACTCACACAATTATTTTTTTTTCAATTGAGTGACGCCCTCTCCTCCTGGCAAACTTATGGGATTGTGCCAAGTGGCACAATCTCGTTAGTTCTGTTATCATAAAATTTCAGAAGGCAATAACTTTTGATTCGAGTATCCAATTCAAATGATTTTTTTTTGATTTCACATAACTTTTCGAGATCTATGCAATGACACCTCATTTGACATATTTTATCTATCATAAACATAGTTCGAATTTGTAAAAATGTGAAACTATTGTTGCAAATTTGAACTATATTAATGGAAGATAAAATATGTCAAATGAAGTATCATTGCGTAGATCTCGAAAAGTTATGTGAAATAAAAAATTATTTCATTTGGATACCCGAGTCAAAAGTTATTGCCTTTCGAAATTTTACGGTAACGGAATTAACGAGATTGTGTAACGTGACATGATCCTATGCATTGTTGTCAAAAACTAGTGCAAAAACTTACGTTTTTACTAGAGTGGTGCGTGTTAAAACGCAAGTAAAAAAAGTCCTTGGTAAAAACTAATAAAAGCGTCGTGTAAAAACGGTAAAAACTTACGTACGTTTTTACCGTTTTGACCATTTTTACTTAAAAATAAAAAATAAAAGATTTACAAAAAACAAATAATAAAAAAACTCAATTTTTCGTTTTCCCCAAATCATATGCACAGTATCTTGATATCTTTTTGTTTGGAAATATGTCTTTTATAATTATATCTTATAAAGCTGCAATTCTATTATAAGTTATGTTATGAGAATCGTTTTGTGTTTTTGAATCATTGTGTGCATTGAAAGAAGTGGAATTATATTCTAATGAGCAATGATCCAAAATCTGTAGAGTGTATGAAGCAGTTAGAGCAGATTGATTACCCATTACTTGTTAGTTGTTAGTTATCACTGTTCATAATTTTGATACCTGATTATCAAAAATAATTTTTCTTTTTAGATAGATAAGTGGCTCAACACACATGTTCATTATGTGATATTTTTTTACATGCATATATATAATTTTGTATCTTGACCTTAACTAGTAGAAAGTAGAAACTTTACGTTTCGTGTCGTTTCTACGTTTTACATTTATACCACCATTTCCGTTTCTACGTAAAAACTCGAGTTTGACAACATTGATCCTATGAGTTCCCCAAGGGAGGGGGCTTCACTCAATTGAAAAAAAAAAATGACTGTGTGAGTGACGCAGGAGTGGTTGAGTGCTGTTGGATCCCCTCGCATCACTCAACGGCCCCCGTTGATAAATACCATGAATCAAATACCAAATCTGTATATTAAAATCTCAAAAAATTCCAATGGATCAAAGAGCCTAGTAATGTACAACACATTTGGAGTAAAGAGAAAAAAGTGTGTCATTTTAAATGACACAAATTGTATCCTTTCACTTTCACGAGGAGGACAAAGAGGTGAGACCCATATTTTTTTTAAAAAATTCTCTCATCCTCTCTTTCTCTCTTTCATTGACACGATTCTTTCCTTTGTTTCCTTTGTGAAATGGTATAAAGTAGGGGTGTTCATCAACCGATCCAAACCGATTCAAACCGCGAAAACCGAACCGAAAAACCGATAACCGAATAAACCGAAAAACGGAAAACCAAAAAAAAACTCGCAAATTTTAATTAGATTGTATCGGTTTTCGGATGGGTTGATGAAAACCGATCCAATCCAGACCGATCCAATATATTAATTCTCTTCTACCTAATTGGTCTTTTCCCCAACCATAGCCCAAAAATTTCTAAGTCCAAGACCCATTAACTCATTAATTAAACCAAAAAAAAACTTAGTCACGTCTCATCAACTATAGTATTGTTTACTGATATTTTTTTATTTCAAAAAAAATAAATTTACAAAGCCAATATATACAAAAGATGTTATTTGCACAATAATCATGAAACTAATTTGAGGATATTCAAAAAACCGAAAATCGATCCAATCCAAACCGAAAAAAATTGGATTGGATCGGATCGGATTTGAAAAAAAATCTAAACCGAATGGATGATTATATGATCAAACCGAAAGGATTGGATCAGATGAGTTTTGCTTCTAAAACCGATCTAATCCAGACCGCGAACACCCCCTAGCATAAAGAAGTGAAATGGTGGTGGGGTCCCTACAAGAAAACAAAGCGCAAATCCAGATAGGAATAAAAAGGGTGTTGCGCGCCCACACACACACACTCTATAGCTGGACCAGTTCTTGAAATTTTCTTCTCCGCCTCTCATCAGCTCAATTCAAGGTATCACATCCATTTTCTGCCATTCTTTTGATTGAGCAATAATTCCCTTAAAGATTTAAACTTGAAGGCCCAAACTGTACTGGGTCACTGCTTATGTAACATAACAACAAGTGGCTTGTGTTGTGTGACAACAGAAGAGGAGCAAAGACAAAAACATGGAGGTGGGTCAGATGCGGAGACAGTGGGTGGACTACACCAAATCTCTGTTCATGGAGGTAAAGCAAAACACATAGTAGCGTGAGCAATAAATTGACAATTCTAGGATGTTTGTGTAGTATGTTTTTTTGTGTGTGTGTGTGTTTTTTTGTGTGTGTGTGTGTTTTTTTGGTGTTATAATTGTTAGATCTGTTGGGCTGTTTTCAATTGTTGATTTTGTGGGTCTTATTTCTTGTTTTCTTATGGTGAGAGAAGGGCTTCCTGGATGGTCAGTTTCTGCAACTTCAGCAGCTACAAGATGAGAACAACCCTGAGTTTGTGTTTGAAGTGGCGTCTCTCTTCTTTGAAGATTCTGAGAGGCTTCTCAAAGATCTCACCTTTGCTTTGTGAGTAGTATACTTACCCTTCCCTCATCTATTAAGAATAGAATGCTGTTGGAAAAGTGCATAATCTTCAATGTTCTTGGGATTTTTTTCTTGTGCAGAGATCAGAAAGTTGTTGACTTCAAAAAAGTTGATGCTCATGTTCACCAGTTAAAGGGTAGCAGCTCGAGGTATGAAGTTTTATTAAAGCCAACCAAAAATGTAAAAAAAATCCCACAGAATCTGAATAAATAGGACAGTTTGTGGCATTAAGCTCTGTTTGGCCTCTACCTTCATTGCTTGTGTAGTAGCTATTGGTTCCCAAACAAGTAGAGTTTTATTCTCTAAAAGTAATTACAGACTTATCAAGCTTAGATCTAAACCTTAATAAGGAGAAACCAAGAGGGTAAGGCCATTTTTGTTTACTGCTAAATAAGCTGTCTTTTCTTGGTTTGCTGAGACAAATTTGTGTGTCTGATCCACAGCGTAGGCGCACAAAGGGTAAAAAATGCCTGCATGGCTTTCCGCAACTTCTGTGAGGAACAGAACACAGACGCGTAAGTTGTCATTCTCCAGACAACTTGTTTGATAATTTTAGACTCTTGAAGAATGAAGAATGAGTGGAAAAGTTTGAATGATAAAGCTATTTAGGCATATAGCTCTCAAGTGCTAAAGGAATCATAATGATTTTTGCTAATTTCATGGTCTGATCATGGAAAGTTTCTGATTGCTGCAGGTGCCTCAGATGTCTACAACAAGTGAAACAAGAGTACTGCCTTGCAAAGAATAAGCTCGAAACACTGTTTGGGGTAACTATATAAAAATCTTTAGCTGAAGAACATTTTGGATTTGTAATTTATATTTCTTTTATGGATCTTATTGCAGCTTGAGCAACAAATTGTGGCAGCTGGTGGGTCAATTCCTATGATGGAACTGAGTTTCTAAGAGGGTGGACTTGTACAAATGCTTGTATTGTGATCCTCATCTCCTTAGTTAAAGATTCTCTTTTATCTTCTGTACCTGGTGAATGTATGGATTTTTATGAGAAGAGAATTTTTCACCACTAATTTGTAATCTCTTTTATCTTCCTTATTTTTCACTAGAAAGCATTTCATAATTTGTAATCTCTTGCATGCATTGATGAAGGTTGATAGCACCACTAATAAACTTGCATCTTTTTCTCTCTTCCAAAAAGGAAAAAAATTGTGGTGACACCAATCTTTGAACACCAGATACTCTATGAACATCTTGATCGTTAATATGTTTCCCTATTAGATATATGATCCATCATTGGACTTCGCTGAACTATTATAGACTAGTTAAACCATTTCAATTTTGGAGATAGAGAGTGGAGTGGTAATGATGTTGACGTTACATGACAATGTCTCATAAGTAAATTCGCTGGCATCCCTTTGTTGAAAAAATATATTGGTATAAGCTAATGGAGATGTAAAGTCACTTTATTTTGGAATAAGAAACTGCTAAGGACGGCAATTAACTATTTTAAATTGGCGTGCTAGATAAGAGGAATCCTGAGAAGATATGATTCTATAGAAGTCAAATCATGATAGGGTGGCTTTGTCCCTTTGTCTGCTCCATTACAAAAGGAAGTAAACGCCCAAATTAAACCTTACTTTATCTTTCCATCGTAGCAGCAAAAATGGTCATTTTTTATGTGGATATTCCTAGGATACCTATCCGTAAGACAAGACATGCCAACCCCACAGTGGTGTCAACTCACCAAGAGCACGCTCGCGCGGAAGATTTATAGGTTTCTGTTGATATGGTTAAGGTTAAACATGTCAAGTAAATCACCCTCATGGCTATTTATTGAGATAGACAGAGGCTTTAAACCTTGAATATTATACTATAAAGTTTGTACTCTTTCTCCATGAATGGAGTATTAGAATTATCAATTTATATGTGTTGCAATACATTGTCCCATCTAATGTTGATACAATTAATATGTTGGAATTAAAATGGTAGCAACAAGATGACAGCCAAATGGGCTTCAAATTGAGGTCAATCTGTTATTTCCATTTTGTTTTTAAGTATTTATTCTATCCTAAGTTCGTAAGGAGAGAGAAAAGGCACAGTGTCTTTTCCTATATTAAACTTGAAACTCTATCTTAAAACTTGAAGAATATCAACCACTCAATAGAAACTTTAGTGTCTAAAATAAGAAGAGATGCGCTGCTTTTGGAAGAGAATCATGAACATGTGCCCTCTAGCTTCTATCATGTGGATGACTCCATTTCCTCTTTTGTTCTTTAAAGCTTCCTACCTTAGCTGATTGGTTCCGTTCACCTAGCCTTTTTGCATACATCTCATGATAAGCCTTGCCATCTACATGGCTTAAAATTCTGACTAATTTCCCATGTTTTTCATCCACCAAAATTTTTCCGTCAGTGGATTCAACCCCTTCGGCCAAGACTTTAATGGGCTTGACCTCAAATTTTGCATCAAGACTTGAAGGGCTATCACCCAAGACAACTGCACCTAGAATTTCTCCCAAGAACGTGTCCTGCAACATTCATTATAAACATTAAACACAAACCGATTATGCACCAGAAACAATGTTGAAAACCAATTTTATTATGCTAAATGCATATTCTCTAAATCACTATGCTTCTAAGCGAGAGACATTTTGTTAAAATGATTATTGAGTTGGTCCAATATATCTTTTGTCCAGTCGCATGCAATAAAGTGTTTATATCAATATTGAAGTTATGGTGTGCAGAAGGCTAGAAATTAGTAATGAATATGAACTTATACCATATGTTGATATCTGTGGTGGATTTGCTTCAAACGGTATAGCCTTGATAGCAGACGCTTGGAAAACACAGCTTCGGGTGTTTTTTCTATCCTTCCCAACCAGTATAAAATACTTGAAAACGAACTTGTTCTGTGCTGAATACTGAGTGGAATGAGTGTGATGTTAACTTCTGATTGAAACACTGTCTTGGCTGCTAAAGGATCCAGGAACATATTGAATTCTGCATAATGGTTGGAAGGAACAGAAAAGACATTTCCTATGTCACTGGCATTCTGGCTGAGGTGTCCCCCCACTACATAAACCTCCTGAAAATATTCAATTAGTCCATTTTTTACTTTTGCTAAAATCTAACCTTCACCAAAATGATAAGAACATTTTTCTGGAGTTACTTTGACATCTACTTTCTAGGTGGCTGATTGTTCTTACTGATTTTCATGAAAACACTATTCTTAAAGGTTGTAAAATAAATTTATAATATAACTTACCCGAATTCTAGAGCTTATTTTTTTCACTGACATAACCTTTGCCAAATTAGTCAAGGGTCCATTAGTTAATACTGTAATCTTAGACCCTGGTTTCATTGTTTGTAATATTGACTCCCAAATTTCCATAGCTAGTGGTTGTCTGAGTTCAGGGTGATCGGTATCCCGAGGAGCCCCAAACTTCACTGAGTTTTCTGCTGTATACCTGAGTCACATGTCAAAGTGTTAGTGAATTGCAGGTTATAAAAATTAAAAAAAAATAAACAGGGATTTACAAGCATGCCAGCTGAGTAAAAAGCCATATTATAATACGCATGGTGCACTCTAGCTTAATAAATTGATATAATAATTGCTGAGAAAATTAAAAGGAGTGAGATTTAACAATTCATAGATTATTATGTTCTTTCACAATATTTTTACACCGTCTTTTATACTACTTTTCTCGCATAAGGGTTGATTCCTTGCACAAGCTACAGACACAGTGAGCCCTGTGCAAGAATTGAAAGGGTGAAACTTTTACATGACAAAAGTGGTGTAAGAATAATAAAGTGGTTTAACAATAAGAACACTCTTATGCAGGTGTTTGTAATTTAGCAAATTGTATGTTGTTCACATTTCCCTCAATGCATACCTACCCTACATGAACTTTAGCGGTTTCTGTTCAATATATAATTCCAACATTTATTCACGTGATAATTTTTGTTGTAATTCATTTTTCGATATAGCATATTCCATTATTTCTGTAGTGATAATATCAGCTTCAATTCCCCACCACATGACCATTATGGTTTCAATAACTTCCTATGCTTCATAATGTTGATGACAACTTTTTAAGACATAAAAGTAACTCGAAAGCACCTTCTGGGGCTACGAGGCAGATCACGAGCAAATCCATAAAGAGTGTCAGAGTCCAGAAAACCACCATTTCCGTGGGGAATGGCTTTAACATACTTGCAGTCTCTAACAGGTGGAATTATTGGATCTGACTGATTCATTGCAAAAACATCACCTAGACCAACTGGGATATCGTCACGACCCATCATGTGTAGTAAGTCATATATGACATCTATTGTTGCAGCATTTGCCCATCCAGTTGGGCTCACAATGATTGCCTAAACCAAATGGTAGGAACAACCAACATCAAAGGTGTAAATCTTGGGTTTTAATTATCAGATATAAAGTAACATAATCCTTAAGTTAATGTGGAACACCTAATTCAATGAAACTGTAAATGAAAAATCAGAATACCTTAAGGTTGATCACTTCAACAGGAACCTTAAGGAGGTAAAATAGAGCAAGAAAATCTCCTGCACTCATGTCCATGTCAAACACAACAGGTTTCCCCAGTGTTTTCTTTTTAAAATCTGGCAAGTAAGTTACTTCTTTGTAGTAAGGAAATTGTGTAGTGAAGTTGAACCTCCCAGCATGTTGTGGTTGCTTTAGAACCTGTTGAACCACCAGAAAGCAAAATTCAGATACTTATATCATTTTAAAGAGCCAATAACAGTCACAGCACAAATTATTCAGTGATGAGTTTCCTTCTAAAGAACTTAATAAATTCATGTTTTACCTAAAAACCATATAAGACAGAGTGATTGATTGATCTAGAAGAAGTTTGAATAAAATACGGAAAAGTGGACTTACATTCAAGAAGCTTACGAAATATTCTCTGTCAAGTGGACTCCTAACATCCCAGTTGGCCTTTGCTTTTGTGGCAACAAGTACCTTCACTGAGTCTGAACCATTCAACTCTGCCGTATAACCATCCTATAGAACATTTTGCAATACATATACATAAAACCATTTTACTGTATGTATCTGTGTTTGTATAATATTAATGCTTCAAGGAAAGAGAGAAGCAACTACCTGACATCTCCCTTTCCCATTCTTCACAAAGCAAAATGGATCTCTAAGTCCTTGCTGAACATGACCACTATGCACCCCACCTTTCTTTAGATTGAATTTAGGAACTTTGAGGCCATCAAAGAATGGATTGGAGCCATCAGATATCCCATAGGGTTTGTTTGAAGTAATTACAGTTATGTTTATGTACTCCATTTCAGCAAATTCATTTTCTCCCTTATTTTTAATGGAGTTACTCATGATTGAGACTGCTACACCAGATGTGAAAGAGTCCCACATAAAATAACTCTGCCAACAATTCAATATAAACAACTTTTTACTCCATCAACCAAAAGAGAAATTGATAAGTGAAAATCATAGGCATATACAAAAAATTGTTAAGAAATTACATTATAGAATTGGTCGTCGAACCAAGTGTCACGAGCCATTTTCAAGGACATGAAACAGTACTGTGCCTCATATGTGTCTTGGCTCTTTTCAAATTCATTAAAGAATTCTTCACTGATGGGGATTGTGTTCGTTGCATCAAGAGGAACAAGGGTAATAGGAATACCAGAATGAATCACCTAAAATTAAATGTACTTTTTTGGTCAAGAACCAAACTTATCTATATATTTATCTCTGCATATAAAGACATAAACCTGAACCTTGATAAGATGAATATTTGGTTGATTACAGTTGACATCAAGGGATAGTTAAACAACAATGACTATAATTTATTTAATAATGACTTATTTATTTAAAATGTAAATATTTATTATTTTTAATATAATATGAGTTTAACGAGGAGTGATTTTTTTTTTAATATAATATAAATAACCGAAACTTTTTTTTTTTTATATCTGATAGATAAATAAAACATTGATGCCATTATATGATTTACAAAATCGTAATTTTAATAAATTTGAAGTTTTTTTTTTTATATATGTAAAAAGATTATTCCAAAGAGTTTTGGTAAAATATCTAACTTAATGTTTGTCTATCATTTGTTAAACTAATCATAGTTGGAGTCCACTTTGATAATAACTATTGTGTGTTACATTGTTAATAACTACTCCACATAGTTGGAGGCCACTTTGGGGGAATAATCCAAAAGACTGACCTGATATGCTGCAAAAGGGTCTTCAAATATGTTGAACTCTGCATAAGGGTTAGTATTATAGTCTGTGAACAAATTGCCATGGTCATCACACTGCCTAGGTACGCAGGAAGAAGAAGTATTTTTGGGGCAACAACCAGTTGGGTTTCTTGACCTTACACCACCACCCATGATGTAAATATGTTCCACATTTTTCTTTAGGTGTGGGTTATTCATGAGGAAAATAGCTAAGTTTGTTTGTGCTCCAATTGCAATCACAGTTACGGGACCTGCAGATATTTTGTCAATCAGCACTTGCTGAGCTGTTGGTTGTCTTAGGGGAGTATATCTCCTTCTGCCCTATTTTCATGATGGAATCAGCAAGAAAATGAGTATCAGTGCTTAGACTACAATCAATTCACATATATAGTAGTTTGCAACGTAATTTTAAACAGTTTCAAGTCTTAGGTAGCTTCTTGAGTTGCTAAAAACACCATTTATGTTGTCATGACTCTTATTCCTGAGTGAGAATTCAATAGTTGGTGTTGTGGTAAGGAGTTATGCTGCTGAGGGAAATATGTTTATAGTCCCCTCCAGGGTCTTTTTGAACCATTTTTTTTCTCTTTGCAACTAGGGAGTTCAGTCTTAAATGAAAGTTGAAATAGTACTATTTATATAGCTAAGCAGGAATATACATTCAAAATTTGTTAGTGGACAAGGGTGAATTATGGAGAAAAACACACCCATACAAATTTCATGGAATCAAATTTACAAGGTATATATTTATACCTGTGGAAGGAAAGCTTTCCGGATGCCATAGTTAGCATCAGTATCCAAGCGCCCTCCAAGACCTAAAGGAATGGCCTGCCTGTATCTGCAACCTCCTGCTGTTGTCATTCCCTGATTCAATGAAATGGCATTTGACATAACATAACAATCATGAACACGAACATAACTAGAAATTATAAACACGATTTTTGTTGAGATATATAGTCCCACTTTAAGTTTTTGGGTTGAAGTAGTTATTTACATGGTATCAGAGCTTGAGTGACTACAAGGGCACAAGTTCGATCCTCTCCGCCCCACTTTAATGTGGAATTAAAATAAAAAGCAAAAAAAGGTAAATCAAAAATTGGGCCTGTGCAATATCCACACTTCAAGCCCAAAGGGCTCTCGTGTGAGGGGGCGTGTTGAGATATGTAGTCTTACATTGATTGTGTGGGCAACTAATGTGGCCTTTATAAGGTCTTAAGCACTTCCACCCTTTGAGCTAGCTTTTGAGGTGGTATATCCCAAGGTTTTTACAATTTCTTTTTTGCAGTTATTTACTTCATTTTACCAACCAATCCAAACTTCAAAGCATAAAAGGCATGGTTTAGCAGATTACATAGTTAACTATAATAAAAGCTCCATGTATTTCTAACAATTTGGAGGTCAACAAAAATGCTTTCAAAAGAAAAAGAAAAAGCCACACTCCACATAGTACATGCCTGTTCAATAATTGGAAGATATCCACCAACATTTGGGAGTATGGTACCATTTGGGAGTATTCCACCCTCACCTCCCACTCCAACTGCTATATCATCTCGCCCCATCATGTAAAGCAAGTCATAAATTTGATTCACAGAGTGCCCGGCATTAGTCCAAGCATTTGCATTGATGGTGACTGCCTGCACATGCAGGTAAGGAGACTCAAAACCACACAAAATCCAATCCTTGAATAATAAGAAAATGCACAAAAGGGTTGTCTGGGCTTTACAATACATGGAGACAAACAGAGTAATATTGACAACTTTTAAAACATACCCTTATTTTATAAAAGGAAAAAGTTCACCCTTTTTTCATTATGCCAGTTCCTTGATTAAGCCAACAGAAACAGCATTCAATCCTCACCAGTAAGATTTGCTTGTTAAAAAGCTATTTCAATCGAGGAGTGAATGATTCCATACACGCAGCTAAGTCAAAGTAATGATTCACAATGAAAAGTATAAAAAAGAGAAGGGAATAAAGGTAAACTGCTATTGCTCAATTTGCTTTGATTACCTCCAATTGAAAGTCTGATTTGTTGAGCTTCAAAAGGTAGAGCAGAGCAAAGAAATCATCAGTATCAACATCTGTATCCAAAAGAATCCGACGAGGCCTTCCCTCCACAGTGTGCAAAGCAACTCTAAGAGTTCCTAATGTAATCAATACCACAACTACACAGAACCTCATTGGAAACATTCTCTATATTCCAAGACCAACCCAGAAATATCTTATGTTGAGTTATGCAATGGAAAATGAGAAAGACCTGAAAAGAGCTTTGATCAACATAAAGTAAACATCATGACTCATGAGAAGCATGCAAAGATGAGAGAATTCATTGATGGAAAAGAAGAGAGGAAGTGAAAGGCACGTAAACAAGGTGCTAGAACTAGCTAGTAGTACCTGAAGTAGTAGACTTTGTTAGAAAAGCAAAAAACAAGAAGAAATTTACGTGTTCATTGGCTTTGTAGTGCATTCTATATTCTTCTATTCTGATAAAATTCACAGAGAAGGCTAAAGAGACAGACAGAGAAATAATTAATTATGGAAAATCACTGTACGCTAAAAGAGTATCGTAGGATTGGGGGTGACTCATGATTTGACTTGTGGTTAACTTTAAATGTCAGTGCTATTTTATTCCATTCCATTGTTGAATAATGTTGCAAGTGTACTTTTCGTGTCTAGTCTTGGAAATATACGGTTAAGTTTAAGATTAATAAACATAAAACATTAATAAACTCGTTCTTTTTGGCTTTCTTTGGAATTTTGAAGAGGAGAGAAAGGAAAGAAATTCAAGGAGAAGAGAGGGAAATGAAGCAAATTCAAGGAGAAAGGTGTCAGATGCTCAGAGTCGGAGACAGGGGGAGGCTAGGGTGGGTGGCCGTCCCCTCCAAAAAAAATGATTTTTTTTTAATGCAGTTGAAGGCTAAAATGGTACTGTTATTACTATTAAATGTGCTTCTTCTAGAAGTTCTGATTTGACATTCAAGTTGAAATCTACCTCCACTTCACTTAAAGTGTGTGTTATGTTTAACTTTTCTGCATTTTCTTTTTTATTTCCATATGTTATGTTTTGGTTAATGAAAGCTTTGGCGTTTTTGCCACCCTTTGACTCTCTTTTCATTTGCATGGTTGTGTTTCTCTTTGTACAATGGTTTCATATAAAGAAAAAGAGTTTGCTCAAACTTAAAAGATTCAGTTTTTGTGGCGACTTGGTTGCAGTCTTTTAATTTTTTTTAAAAAAAATTGTAGTTAAAAGCATTGTTTTAGTTAAGGCACTTTTTTTTAATTATTGCTTTAAACTACCTTTGACTACCTTTGATGTCTATTGGAACCGGCCAACAGTACATTTTTTCAGTATTTGAAATGTTGTTAAAAGTTAATATTTTGATTAAAAAAATTACCTAAATGAGTTTCACGAATGTATGAGGTTAATAGGTAAAGAAAATACTGATATTATGCAAGACAAAAAATTAATTTTCGCCCCTCTTCTCCTCCAATCCTGCCTTTGCCACTGCAGATGCTTACAAATCAGAGTCGTTGATCCTACTTATATATATATATATATATATATATATATATATATATATATATATATATATATATATATATATATATATAGGTAGGATCCTTTGACACCAGTGTCAAATTTAAAATTTGACATCTCATCTGAAAGCCATTAGATCAAAAAAGATCAATGGTGTCACATGCTTACAAAACAGAGCCATTGATCTTTTTTGATCTAAATGGCTCTCAGATGAAGTGTCAAATTTTAAATTTGACACTGGTGTCAAATGATCTACCTCATATATATATAGGGGCAGGATATTCTTACACCGGTGTAAGAGTTAGAAGTCTTACACTCAATCTTGACCATTGATTCACTTGTATCCAATGGCTCACATTACTAAAAAATTAGAGACCTTAGTGGGATCAACAAACCATATATATATATATATATATATATATATATATATATATATATATATATATAATCATACCCATACGAAAGGTAAAAGCAAAAGTATTAAATATGTGGAATCATAATCATACATCTGTCATTGATGCACGTCAAGGAGATGGAGAAATGATTTTCCCATATATATAAGAAAAATATTTCTGAAGCAGCTTGAGATATATTTGTCTCCGTCCACCCAAAAACTACATCGTTTTATTTATTTATTTTCTTATATTAATTTATTCACCTTTGAATGATTATGATTTTCTTTATCTCTCTCTTCATTTATCACAATTGATCTATCTTTGTATGGTTATGGATTTATATTTTTGCAGCTATTGTACGTGCAACAGTCAAATACTTGCCATATATACATATATATATAAAAGCATTAAATGTGGAAAATCATAATCATACACCTGCCATTGTTATATATAAAGCGGCTGTAAAAATGATTTTACTATATATATATATATATATATATATATATATAGGATTGCAGAAGATAACTTTATTTCTTGTGACAGAAGAAACAATAAACCGCATATATATAGGGTTTATTGTTTCGCCTATCTCTTACAACCCCAAAACTCGAAATATTATGTATTTAAGATATCTAAATATTATGTATTTAAATCATTTCAATTTATATTCTCTGATTTTCTTTAGCACCAGTATAACACCCAATTTTTGTCTAATATTTTCATTTTTTTAATCATTTTTTTATCTTAATTATCCTTGTATGACCACACACCTACAGTAACATCCTTGTTTATGCTACTTTCCATGTTGCTTACGCGCTTACCAATGTTCAACTCATATAACATTACACGCCTTATTATTGTTTTATAAAAAAATTCTTTAGCCTCAAATAAATTTTTCATTCACACAAAAATCTTAATACAGTTTTTCCCACTCTGATTATATGATTCATATCCTTATCAATTTCTCTCTCTCTTTTTACAATACTAAAATATAGGTATTTTCTCGAAATCCTCCTATCCAAACATATCCAAATAATAATAATAATAATAAAATCAATTGCAAGCATTCTAATCGGTTTATTCTTACTTCCTCCCATATTTATAATCATAATTGGCCATTAAGAATAGTGACTCTTTGGCGACGAAGAGTTATGTCTATCAGAGTTTAAAAACCTGACCCGGTCATCGACTTGACCGAGGTTAGGGGTTACGAGTTCAACCAAGGGGTCACGGGATCACTTCGTTGATCCAGTTTTATACATTAAAAAATATAAATATATATTCTATATGAAAAATTCAAAAAAATCAAACCACCAATCATTAAAAATTCAAAATATACTTAACATAATTCAACCAATCGCATCTACAAATCAATATTCGCAAGCTAATCAAACTATCGAAGTATAAAACACATATTCCAATGGAGTTAATGAAAAGTTATATCATCAAACTCAGGCCCTTCTTGTTCTTCTCATGCACCTATAATAGTACGTGAAAGGAGTTCCCTTACCCAATAGATAATAGCGGAGGAAAGGTGGCGACACGACAAATTGACGGTGAGGAAAGAAGAACGAGCACGGTGGAGGAGATCACCGGAACAGGAAGACTGAGTCTGAGTCAAGGAGAGAAGATCGGAAGAGAAGAAGAAGAACGATTTAGATTTCAGATCTAGTTCTAAATCTAGGTAGCAACGAGTTTTTTTTTTTTAAATGCAATGACCCCTCTGACCCGGGAGTCAAGGGTTCAACCGGGGGGTTTCGAGGGTTAGAGGGGTCAACGTGCAAGTAGGGTCTAACTACTAACTCAAACCCTTAGAGAGAGGGGGTAAGTGACCCAAAGGGGTCAATCCCGGGGTAGGGCGGGGTTTTAAAACACTAATGTCTATTCTAGTGTTTTAAAACCTCGTCCCACCCCGGGGTCAACCCTGTCGGGTCACTGACCTCCTCTCTCTGAGGATTCGGGTTAGTAATTAGACCCTACATGTACGTTGACCCATTTAACCCTTGAAACCCTCCGGTTGAACCCGTGACTCCTGGGTAAGAGGGGTCACTGCAATTTTTTTTTAAAAAAATTATATACGAAATGACATCATTTGATGTGTAAAAAAAAACTCAATGCTGCCTAGATTTAGAATTAGATCTGAAATCTGAATCTTTCTTCGTTTTCTCTTTCGATCTTCTCTCTCAGACCCAGATCAAATCTCCCTCATCCGGTGATCTCCTCCACCGTGCTGGTTCTTCTTTCTGTTGGATATATGCTCTTTTGGTCACTAAAGTCCTATTGGGCTTCAGTGAAACTTGAGCCCATGAGGCTTAGGGTTAAGTTATGTCTAAGACCTAAGCGTATATATTCATAGTTTTCTCCTCTTGTGCCTCCAAGGTGAATAGATCATCAGAAACAAACCCCAAGAGGCAGACGTTCATCATCTGAACGGTTGCCCACACAACCATCTCATCCTCCTCGAGAGATAGTCTGGAAGATCTGCCACAGTCTAGCTTCAAGGAGGTTGTTCGTGCTGCGGCGCTAAGGTGAGCTGTTCGTGAAGAGGAATCCTACAAGGGAAGATTCTACACGACACCTGCGCACCGAGAGGTAATTGTGAAACAAGGATGATTCGGTAAGCATACCAATGTACTAGGTCCTAAACCGCTTCCGCATAAATCTAAGATTTCCTACACTTTCCCCACCATTAATTTGTCGTGCCGCCACCTCTCCTTCGTTATTCTCTATTGGGTAAGGGATCTTCTTTCGTATACTATTATAGGTGCATGAGAAGGATAAGAAGGATCTGAGATTGACGACATAACTTTTCATTAATTCCATTGGAATTTGTGTTTTATACTTTGATAGTTTGATATTTTGATTAGCTTGTGAATATTGACTGGTGGATGTAATTGGTTGAATTATGTTAAGTATATTTTGAATCTTTACCGATTGGTGGTTTATTTTTTTATATAAAATATATATTTATCTTTTTTTAAAGTATAAAACTAGGTCAGTGAAGTGCCCTTATGACCCCTGGTTGAACCCGTGATCTCTAACCTCAGCCGACTCGATGGTTGGGCCATGTTTTTAAACACTGGTCTATTCAACTTGTGAAAAGAAACCTCCCTTGGAAAAAAAAAAAAATCATTCCGGGCGATCTCGACATAAATTGAAAATCTCATCTTCTTTTACCTCTTTGCATTCAACTACGTATTCATATCACTTTAATTCTACGTAAAAATCATATTTCCTTTTTGGAAAAAAAAAAAATC